ACAGCAGGCTGTGCTGACTCCTGAATACACTGTGCACTTCCTTCTGCATGCACACCTACAACCAAGGTCGACCTGTAAGTGAAGTAAGAGATTAATAATAATACCTAGTGATAAAACAGAATGAGATACCGTAGAGTCCACGAGCACGTGGTCTCTCATGTGTGCAGACAGTCAGCATCTGTCTCTATTATAATCTACCTGGGATGGCCAGCTTACACAAAGAAAAGGTTGGCTTGGCTTACACTTGAGGGGGTTTCAGTATGTGCCCTGCCTGTGTTCCTTTGAGTGATGCAGTATATCATGACAGGAGTACATAGGGAGCTGAAGTACTCATCTCACGGCCAGGAAGTAAAAGACAAAGGGAGCTAGAATGTCATAATGCCCTCCAAGGTCATTCCTCCAGTGACCTGAAGACCTTCCATTAGTCCCAACTTATTAAGGTTTCCATTATTTCCCAGTACTCCTAGCTGGATATCAAGCCTTTTGCTCTGGTTAGTTTTCTGTCAACTTGACACAAGCTAGAGTCATCTGAGAAGAGGGACTCTCGATTGGGAAGATGCCTCTGTAACATTGGCCCATAGGAAAATTTATATGGCATTTCTCAATTTGTGATTGATGTAGGGAGGCCCAGTCCATTGTGGGTGGGGGCCACCCCTGGGTGGCCCGCCCTGGGTGCTGTAAGAAAGCAGGCTGAGCAAACCACAAGGAGCAAGCCAGTAAGCAGCAGGCTGTAGCAAAAGAATTAAGGACCAGATTGAAAAGGAGAGAAAGTTGAGATAATGACACCGACCCAGGATTCACTGTGTGCCAGCTTTGCATGTGGCTTCACGGTCTACCTCTGAATACAGTGCAAAGGTCCCTAGGAAAGCAATGATTCTCTGACGTCCTTCGGGAATCATTTAAAAATAGGTCCATGAATCCTTTAGAGGGTAGGATCTGCTTCTCCTCTCAACTTGTACGCTGTATTTTGTTACTTATTAATAAAGACATGAATGTGGTGGTCGTGACAGTGACATCAGCGCTGCTACAAAGACCTTGGGAACTAGAACAGCAAGAGCAATGTGGCTTCCTTCTTCTCTCCTCTCTTAAGCCATGTCCTTCAGAAAAGTCAGCTGCCGTGTCATGAGGATGCTCAAGCAGTCTTATAGGAGCCTGTGAAGGGGTGGAGCCAAACCCTTCTGCCAACAATCAAGTACATGATTCATCTTGGAAACACACCCTCAGGGTCCTGTCCAACCAAGCCCCCACCCTCATGTCTTCAGTCTGGGCTTCCCTGAACAGGATGCAAATAACAATACTTAATGGTGGTTGGCTCCAGTTGGGCCATGGAGATAATGGGTGTAGTCTTTCCAGCTGGACCAGCGTAGGGCCCCAAAACAGGACAGAAAAACAATCGATAGCATTAGTCGACTCTAGCTTGTCAGCTGGAGCGTGTGTAGGTCTAGGTGCAGAATGTTTCACCCTTTCCCCTGGTAAACTTTTAAACTCCAGGAGTACTTGAACTCTATACATAGTCTTGCATCTTATACATGTACTTGCAGCAGACTGAATTCTGGGTAAAATAGACTTCTAAGAAGAGCATGTCCTTTTCCCAAAGTGCCCTCCCTGGGGGAGACACAGCAGGGCGATAACAGGGTGAGGAAATATGAAGCCCATGCCCGCCAGGACCAAGGGCATTGCTGCTTGGCTCAGCATGCTTTTTCTGAAGCCAGTGTTCTTGCTTTCTGAATACCCTAATTAGTCTCTTGACTGCTGGATCTGTTGCTATATCCTGTTGGAATTCTTCTCTTTCCAGAGCCAAGGCCGCTGCTGGGCTGGAGAGCAGAGGAAACACAAGGCCTCCCAGTAACACAACTAGATAGGCTCTGATCCAGAACCTCCCAGCAAGGCAGCTCCCACAGACTCTGCGAAATCGTAAGTAGATACTGTGTAAGTCACTAAGTAGGGGGGCCATTTGTCATTCATGATAGATAACTAATCACCCAGGCTATCAGATACTGCAAGACCAAAAGTAAGGGACTGGGAGGAACCAAGCCCTTCTTGAGAATTCACATGTGAGCTGCAGGCCACACTGTATTTTACTGTAGGCACACACCTCGCTCCTTGGGAAGAGTTGGACTGGAGCTACACCAGGCTACTGCATTAAAAAGAAATGTGGTATGGACACCCGAAGCTCAAAATGGAGTGCCATGAGGATCTTTAAGAGGTGTGCCACCTGGGCCCCTCCCCCATTCTATTTTAATAGTTCTGGAAGTTGTCTGGGCGTAGAGATGTTTAGAAATCCCTCAGGTATGCCTTGTACTGCCTGAAGTCAGAACCTCAGCTATGGTCACGCTGGGCCCACAACTCCTTCCCCTTTGGTATACAACTTCTCAGTCAAACAGGTCCCTCCCCTCAGGTGGGCCACCCAACATGGCTGAGACGGAACCTGATGAGCTCTTTTTAGAGCGGTCCCTAAGGGATGAAAAGTCCTGGCCATTTCTTAAGCGGCCTGTGTGTGTTTTCCTTGTTAAGGTAAGAGTGGAGGCAAAGAAGAAAACAGAAAGTGAAGCAGCCAGTCGGAGGGGCCAGCAGGCCTCTCGGCACGGGCAGTCTCGTGTCATCTGCAGGTGTGTAGTCTGCAAAAAGGGCATGGGACTCCCGGGGTTAGGAGACAAGGACAAGGAGGAGTCACAGGACAAGCGTGTTCCCCAACAGCACCACCACCCCCCCCCCCGCCCCAGACTAACGCTAGATCTGCACCGCCCGCCCCCTTCCTCTCTAAGTTAGATCGTGTGTGCTGAGCTCTGAGAACCAGTAACGGAAGCAGGGCCCCCAGTGGAGAAGTGTCTGATCTCCAGGGCTTGTGATGTAATCAAGCAGCTTTACTCGAGCACCATGGAAGCCCATACAGTGATCAGCAAGGGTCCAGCTTCTCAAGTTCAAATCCCTATTCTTCTGCCAGAGGTCATTTCAGCTCCGGCCCAGGTTCCTCACTATGTACGATAAAATAATAACCATAGACGGGATGAAAATCAAAGATCGTTTTGTCCACCACTGTCACATGTGAGGACACCGTAAGGCACAGATGGTGTCAGGCAGAGCCTGACACATCCTCAGTGGAGAGCCATGGAGTATGCGCTTAGAGAGAACCTATGGAGAACATGGACATGTATTCGACTACTTCACTAGCTGTCAGAAGGCAACGAACTGTAGTTGTTTCATAGCTGTGGCTAGAGTCCTCCTCCTGTGTGAGACTGAAGACAGTGAGCACAGAGCATTCAGGGTCAAGTGTCCCACGTGACCTTACCTTAGTGCTGCCTTTGTCCTGGTGCCTCACATCCCAGCCACCAGGAGGTGGTCAGGTCCCTCTCGGCTTCTTTCACTTAGCTGCTGACTCTGCCTGGTAGACTTTCGACTGGATTTCCAGACCTCGTTGCTCAGATGTAGACAGGAAGGAAAGTTCTGGTTTTAGGCAGGGCCACTAAAAATACAGTTCACCACACAGTATGCCCATCTCCCTGGGAAGTCCCCTCCATCGTTGTCAAAAGGGCCCTGGATTCTAGGAGGACAATGGCCTTCTATGAATTTCAAATTCCCAGACCAGCCCAGCAAATGCCACATGAGCAGTCCATGGGCTGTCAGGGCTGTGGCAGCCTCTGTGAGAGACCTGTGGATAGACCAGACAGCACAAAGTACACCCTGGTGCTTATGGCCTCTTCCAGGGCACGAGACTTACCTTGTCCCGCTTTGATAGGAGTCCTGAGACTAGACATTTTATAAAGAAACACGGTTTATACAGCTCCCAGTCTGGGAGGCCAGAAGTCCAAGATCAGGCAGCCCCATGCGGTCAGCCTCTGGTGAGGCCTGTTGACTACTATGGCACTGCATGGCAGAGGGCATCTCACAGCGGGAGTGGCATCTCACAGCAGGAGCACGTGTAAAAGCTGTGAGCCAGGTGTGCACAAGATGGCAGTCACAGGGCAGGAGAGGAAGCAAGAACTGAGACAGTCACAGCTCTCTCTCATGTTACCAATCCAATCCCAGGAGACCTGCTCAGGGCTGGGAGACAGGTTCAGGTCCTAAAGGTTCTGCCTTCACTCTATCCACCCAGGCCTCAGTTTCCAGGACCTGAGCCTCTGATGGACTAGCCACACCCAAACATGATGCTTCTGCAAGGGCCCCTCTGCCTGGGAAAAGGAGGAAACCGCCTCTTCTAGGTCAAGGGAAGGCTTCGCTCTGATTTCCAGCTGTAAATGTCAAGACTGCACCTCCCAACCCCTGTGATTCAGAAGCCCCGTGTGCTGAGAGAGTCCAGACAAGGCTCTGGAGAAAAAGGAAGGAGGGGCAGGAAGGCAGGAAGAACAGTGAGCATCGTGTAACTGCTCAGCAGCTGATAAGAAAGTGAAAAATGGCCGCATTTGTGACATGCTTGTACCTCCAACCACACACAGATCGATACATGTGTACTGGTGCTAACTTTTCTTTTTGTCTGTTTCTTCATTTCTTCTCATTTTATTTTTCCTTTTGACAGTGAAAGGTGTCTGTCCTAGGAAAGGAAAGGGTGTCATTAATTTAATTCTTAAAAATCCCACTTAATACACAGTTATCCAAAGTTAATTTTATTCAAATAAGAGACTCCAGTAAGCCCGAGGTTAATGAACAAGGAAGATGTAGTTTATTAAATTACTTTTTTTTTTTTTCAGTACAGAAAGACATCCTCTGTAAAGCAGTGTGGACAGGAATCCCAAAAGCCTGTAGCAGTTTGACCAAGTGTTCAAACCAGTCCCAAGTGAAACAGCTTGTTGGTATCTGGAGGAGAAGACGGAGGAGGAGGAAGAGAAAGAGCAGGAAGAGAAAAAGGAGAAGAAAAAGCGGAAATTGCCAAGAGACATTTGCTCAATCCAACAAAGCAACGATCTGTGCAAACTCTAATTATTGTATTTGCAAAACAATGTGTGTATAATTTGTGGACATCACCCCCCTTCTTTCTAACACAATAAAGGATTCATTTCACACACACACACACACACACACACAAAAAAAAAAAAAAAAAAAAAACCTTTTGTGTTTTCTTTAGAAAATTTAGGACCAAAAAGACAATGCATCTCAAGATCTGCAAACTGAAGAAGGGGTCTCTGGGAGATTGATCTGAAATCAAAAGCAGTTGTCATTCTTTATTGATCACCTTGCTTATTCATTATCATATCCGGCCGTCATTTATATGCAGATGACGCCGTCACTTATGGCAGTAGATTATGCTGGGAGAAAGCTTCATATTATCTTCAAGCTGATTTAAATGAGCTTTAAGATCATCTGGCACAATCGAAATTACTCTTAAATATTAATGAAACAAAGATCATGCTATCTGGCTCAAAACAAAAGTTGGGGGAAACTGCAAAGCTGGCAGGCAGCATGACCTGGAGACGGCACACAGGCCTCCTCCTCTCCCAACCTTGGGATCTGTCCTGTTTTCACCTGTGACTGATAATGCATTTGATTGGCCCTGAAGGATAGAAAAATCTCAACTCCTTATTCAAGCACACATAATTCTTTTCTCCCTTCCTTTCTTTTTTGAAGAAAAATTGTTTCCCCATCTCTCCAAAGTTGCAATTATGTGCTTTGGGTTCTGTTGATTTTGTTTATCTAGATGCTGCCCGACATTTGTTAGCCGAGTAAAAGACGTTTATCCTCTCTATCTGGACAGATTTGCCTTGAATTATACATCTCATAAACATTACCGTCTGTCGTCTTTTAAACAATTGGCTAAAAATTAGAAGGCTCAACACTGTGTTGGCATAATCGCTACTTCCCATCAGCTCGCTTAACTCTTTCTTCGAGTCACCCACATTTTCTCAGCAAAATTTAGTGAATGAGGGGAACAAGCTGCTGTGAAGGGCATTTCTCCACAAACAAGTGCTTGTGCCCTGTGTGTGTCTGTGTGTGTCACTGTGTGCGTAGGTGTGTGATTCAGTGGGGGAACTGTCTCACATTATGCAGATGACCTTTATGAACCCCCTTTACCCTCGAGTATCTCATTAATCAATGAGATCTCCCTCGCTGTGGGCCAGGAGAACGATGGACTTGTAGGATGCCGCAGCTGAGGGGAGCACATGCCATTTCCCTGGTCCGTTTCCACGAGGGAGAGTCACAGGCTCGTAGAACCAGCTTCTGGCTTCCTGGGAGGCTGGCCCCCAGGTGCACCCACCAGAGACAGCCCCAGGGAGTCATGGAATGGAGTGCTGCCAAGACAGGAGCTGGAAGGAAGAACAGGACGGTGGGTACCACTGCTGTTGCTGTTATTGGCATGCCTTTACCACAACCTTCCTGACTTGCCCAGTATTGGCTTAATCGGGCTGTGTCTGTGGCGCCGTCGTGGATCATCAGGGACCCTTGGAGGGCATTGAGTCTTGGATGGTATGTGTGCTGTGTCTCAGCTCCCGTGTTTATTCTGTAAACTGCCTCTCGTGCAGATTCCCCCCACCCCCCAGATCTGTCTTTCCAAGATTACTTAGATAAAGCAGAGAAGGACTAAGGGTGTGGGTAGGTGGCCCAGTTGAAAGGTGGTGGCAAAAGAGAGCAAAAAGGTGGAGTGTGTGCCTCAATGGACCTCTCCTTTTACGTCTTTAGGGAGGAAGGAAACTACAGCTAACTTGAAAAAGCAATGGAAATGGTGCAGTCCTCTCTCTGAAGTCATGGCAGCCTGAACAGTTCCACATCTGCTAGAGAAGTCTGTAAAACATGCTCATCCACAGGCAAAGCAGTGTGTGTGTGTGTGTGTGTGTGTGTGTGTGTGTGTGTGTGTGTGTGTGTGACTGTTCTTAATCTTCCTCTCCGAGGCTCTGCTCAAAGCCTCTGTTTTCTCTGACACTTCGAAATCTCCCAAGAAGATTTTCTCAGAGCCCTTTATTCACACCTCTGTTAGGGCCTTATGTTTTCCATGTGTTAGAATTGCATACATGTTGGAATCCCTGCTGGCCTGGTTCTGCGGCTGTCTACTCAACACCCCTCAGTACTCCCTTCTTTTGGCAGCCTAGCCCAGCTTGGTTCTGCGTCAGCCCACATTCAGTGCTTCGGGAGCGCTCAGCCTTCCCATGCCCGAAGTGTGAACCTTTCGGGCCTTCTCAGGACAATGCCATATGCGTTCAGCTCAAGAAAGCCGTGTGACACAAATGCTTCTGTGAAGTGGGAAGAAAGAGTGCTGGGGAAGGGGCAGTGGGGCTTCTAAGAAGTGCTTGATGCTGTGACTGTGACTACCTGTGACTAGGGGAGGGCAAGCTTAAGGAAGAAACAAAACGTAAACCTAGAGCACATCTGAGTCCTTGATGGTGGCACTAGACCAGCCCAGCACCACACCATCTCTGTAAACATAGAGCACATCTGAACGGTGGCACTGGACCAGCCCAGCACCGTACCATCTCTAGACTCTCTCATCTTGGATTGTGTCTTCTAAGACTCTCAGCACAGGAATCAATATTCCCCTAACCCTGTAATTGCCTAATTCAGTGACTGCATGGGGCTGTGGAGATGCTAATCAATTTTGATTTTATCATAGCATGTATAATTTACAGTTTACATAATGTAAAATTCAGTGTGTTACCTTTTCCCGCAAACGTAGTGTTTCGAAGCCCCCCCGTGGAGCCTCTACCACAGACATGGTGCAGGCTGTGTCATAGCTTCTAGCCCTCAAAAAGCACATTGGTCAACTTTGCTCTGAACTGTGAAGTCCTCGATGACAAAACCAGACTGCCTGGTTTTCATCTCTATGCCTGGTTCAGGACAAGGGAAAAAAAAAACCAACAACAATAAAGAGCAAATGGTTTAAGAATTCTGCTTTCTGAAGGGGCTGGCCCTACTGGGTCCTGACCACTTTTTAACAGTGGGATGCACTGCCCCATTGCAGTGATTCTTGAGTTCAGGAGTGTGACCATGTCTATGTTCACAGGTACTCCCCAGCCATCCCTTCCATGCCCTCGCCATACCTCCCTTCGCATGGCTCCCTTTTTCTTTGCACCATGTCCAAGAGTCTGGCCTCTTCCAGCTTTACTCAGAAACGTCACCCATCTCATCTCCCCACCTCTGAAAGTGGAGACACAAGGAAAAAGTCATTTGGGCCACATCTGCTCTGTTCTTCACCACAGTGTGGACTGTCTTTTATATAAACAGAGCTGCCCACACACAGGTTAGAAGAAGGACATTCCAGCTTTGCCTGTCTACCAGGGGCTCACAGGGTAGTGCTCTTCACAGGGATCTGGCATTTGCCCGTTAGCCAAACGTGCTTCATCACAAAAGCCAGGCAATGCCATCTCCAGGGAGAAAGTGTGTGCTTGGACCAGCCTCCTATGCTGAGGAAAAGGTCATGGACCATGAAATCTTCCTCAGAAGCACCAACTGCCCCTCCAGAACCCGCAGTGGGGACTTTGGCCATGGCTGGGTGCGCTGCTGACAGAAAGCAGAAGACAGAGCCCCATCCTCAAGCCTCATGTCTCTGGAGGGACACTCTGCCTCACTCCATGGCAGAAATCTACCTTTCTGAGGTAGCCTGTAAGGACACAGATTGGGGTTCTACCGACTCCTTCTTCTAGTGAGGTACCTGCCACTTTACACAACAACTGATGTTAGAGATTTTACTCTCGCAGCTGCTGAAAAACTGCCATCGATGGGAGAGTCCAGTAGAGCAGACGCCAAACTAAGGCCTACACACACACACACACATCAGGGTGGTTTCCCGCCTTCTAAACAGCCTTTGGGACATTTATTCTCCACCAGAACTGTCAACTTTTGTGCTAACCCTTTGCATCAGATCCCCAACTCCATGTATGCCTGCACTCCTCAGACACACATGTTGGCTTAGACGATGGGCTAAGTGTACCCGAACAGTCGAGGTTTCAGATTCCCATCTTTTGAGGATGCTAGTGCCCTATTTGGGCCCCATGGTTGTCCAGAGATTGAGGATGTGTTGTTCTCTCTGGGGAATTGGGGAGGGGGTGGAACTCTGAAAGAGGCCTGGGATACAGGCCTGGTATTGCTCAGATAGAGACTGGACAGCCGTGTGTGTAGCAGAGGCCTAACTCCGCTTCAGGCAGAGATTAAAGAGATGCTTCATTGAACAGCATCCAAGACTCAGTTTCAGTTGTCCTTGCTGGAGCACAGATTTTATTGGGATAGATCTTATGAGTGTGGTCTTTGAATTACAGGATGTTGTATGTGGAGAAAGATTTCAATTCAGGGAAGTCAGGGATAAAGCATTCATCATGCAAGGACAGCTAAATGAAACAAGAGGACCCAGCCCCAGGCCTCTGTAGAGATGGCCTGGCCACTGAGGTTGGGGCTAGTCTATAAGGTTCAACAGAAGCAAGACCAGAAGAGCCACCCAAAGCTTGGGAAGGAGCTGTGAGTCTGAGCTCCAGGCTTCTAGGTCTGATCACTATCCAAGGACCTGTGGTGTCCTGGCTTCTCTGAGCCTCCATTTCCTCGATTCTTACAATTTAAATATAATAATGGAATCTCCCTGCTGCACAGATTTGAAGGGGCAGTTCATGTGCACTAATTAGCATAATTCCTGGCATCATCTCAAGTGCTCAATAAATTAAGATTCAGCTCTTTCAAAATATGGTGAGATGGCTCCGTGGGTAAAGGCACTAGCCATGCAAGCCTGGTGACTTGAGTTCCATCCCCAGCACCCACGGGCAGGAAACTGATTTAACAAAGCTTTCCTTTGGCCTTCATAATCTTCATACAAGTGCTACAGTTTGCTCTCTCTCTCTCTCTCTCTCTCTCTCTCTCTCTCTCTCTCTCTCTCTCACACACACACACACACACACACACACACACACACACACTAGTAATAATAATGATGATAATTAAAGTTTAAGTATAGTTATGTCAGATCACATCATTTGTTTGTTCAAAACCAAACTTCGGCTCCTGATCTTTCTCAGAGCCTCAGATGCTACAATGCCCGTAGCATCTTCTATGACTTGGACCTTCTTTTCTCTGCTCTGCCTTCAAGTGCTCAGTTCCAGGCATATTGGCTTCCTTGTTATTGCTCGAACACCTAAAGGCCTTTGCAAAGGACGCCCTTTCTTCCCAGATCACTCTTGCCTGTTCTAGATTTCTGATTAGATCACTACCTTATTTCCTTGACATCATCTCCAAGAGGTCTTTCCTGATGCCTTCTTTAAGCCTCTGGCCACCCCTCTGTGTCCTATCACCTCTGTCTGCTCTACTGATTTCCCTCGCACTCTCCTCCCTGTATGCCAATCAACTTTCTCATTATTCATGCACATTGTTCCCTCCCACTACATTATCAGCCCCATGAAAACACAGACCCTGCTGTGTCCACCCATAAGCCCTCAGCACCCAGAACTCACAGCACCCAAAACATTTTCATCACTTAATAAGTGTCTGTTGTTATAATTATTTGTAAATGATGTCACATAAGCAGCTATTGGTGGAATTATTAAGGCCACTCCATGTAGTTAAAAGGAGATTTATTTAATGGCATAACTTACAAATTAAGGGATAGGTAGGTTGCGGGGTCTGGGGAAGGTGTATCACAGTCCAGCGGTGTTCTCTGGAGCTCTGCTTGGCCCACCTCCACTGTCCAGGGTCCCGCAACAGAGAGAGCGCTGGCCAATCCAGATCTCGGGTCTCCAGGGGCCTCCCTTGGCCCTGCCTTGTAGGCGTGACAGTTGCCGAAGTCTCAATGGGGGTTGGAACTTCCAGATCAAAGCTGGAATGGCTACCCACTACAAGTGGCCTTGTCATTTTGGTTTTCCATGGGTTCTCCACTCCTTTTACCTTTGTAAACTTACATTTTGTTGTTTTTATTCTTTGACAATGCTGAGGCTCAAACCCAGGGCCTTTGTGCACTCAAGGCAAGTTCTCTACCACTGAGCTACATTCCCAGTCTTCGACTTATAATATGTTTGTTTTAATCAGAGAGGTAGTGTTTGTGAGTATAATATGAGGGCTCCATGCATAGTTCCTAAGAGACTATTTCTGCAGTCTCTCTTTGCTATCAACACAAAGCCAACAGAGTTCTGAACCTGGACTAGAGCTTGGGAAGAGTTTTTAATAGCAAGGTCCTTTAGAGAGTCAAGGTCATAGGCCAGACTTAGACACGCAGGAGCCAGGTTGCCAAAGGAACAAGAGGCAGTGTCTAAGAATCAGGGCCTCGGAATGGACAGGAGCAGTGGCTGGCTCTAGATTCCTGGGTTGCAGGAAGGGTGTGCCGGGAGCTAAAGCAGCATGTGAAGCAATGGAGACAGGGCCACCCCGGAGCAGCACTGAGTCCAGTATTGGTTTGCCTTGGACTCAGACCAAAGAGGAAGAAGTTACTGTCAAAAGGGGGCCCATAAGGAGGCGTTTGGTGGAGCACCTGCAGTCACCAGGAATAAGCAGCTGAGTAGCTGCTCTAACATCGACGTTCATAATAAAGAACTGTTGTTCAGATTCCATCAACAGAGCAAACAACACTCCCGGATCGCAAGGCAGTGACTGTCACATGGACCCAGATCACACTGGTCAGTAGAGCAAGAGATGACACAGCTCTCCTGTCTCAGTTAGGGTTTCTATTTCTATGATAAAACTCTATGACCAAAAGCAACTTGGGGACCAAAGGGTTTATTTTGGCTTATAGCTTGTAGTCCATCATCGAGGGACGTCAGTGCAGGAACTCAAGGAGGGAACTGGAGGCAGAAACTGAAGCAGAGGCATAGAGGATTGCTGCTTACTGGCTTGCTCCACATGATTTGTTCAGCCTGCTTTCTTATACCACCCAGAACAACCTGCCCAGGATTGGCACTGCCCACAATGGACTGGGTCCTCCCACATTAATCATCAAGAAAATGCCCCCATGGGCTTGCCCACAGACCAATCTGGGGGCACGGGCACATTTTATCAGTTGAGGTTCCCTCTTTCCAAACGATTCTAACATGTGTCATGTTGGCAAAATAATCAGCCAGGACATCCCACTACTCCAGATTTGCAATGGAGGATAAAGGAGCCAGTTGGCCCATCAAGATCAACTGGCATCCCATGTAGACTTTGGGCAGCACGGACCTGCCAGGATGAGGAAGGAAGTAAGCCATCAGGTGCATTTGCAGGAGCCTCTCTGGGTTGGAGTGGGTGAATGAGTTCCACATATTTTTCCAATAATAGAGCCGAACACTTACTGAATGATCACCCTGCAGCAAATACCTGGTTAAGCACTTTACCAGGATTACCTCATTGAATCCTCACAGCAGCTCCATGAAGCTTGGAAGGTTAAGTAGCTGGCCCCCAGGCCAGGGGAGCTTAAAGGTAGAACGGGCATTCGGCACTAGTACTATTATGTCTCCAGAGCCCATGCCTGGGGTCTTTGTGTTCCCTTCCCAAACTGTGGACACTCTTCTTATCTTCTGACATCCGAGAGCTCTTCCATTTCTCACGTGCCGTCCTCTCCCCACAATACTAGCTCATCTGCTCCTGACTAAACCAGTAGTTCCTGACAGACCTGCCCATAATGGGCTGTAGATGAGCTGATGTCCTTCGGCGCCCCTCAGTGCCCTGGGTGGCAATGGGGTTATGCCTAACCGTGGCAGAAGACACCTTTACTGACCGTCTTGGGTGCCAACTAGTTACTTATGGCATCCCAGCCCCAGGCCCACCTTCTACTCCCGGAGGCCAGTGTTACAGAGCTTCACATGCATTTCTCATTCTGCAGACGACCTGCCCGAGAGGGCTCCAGGGAGGGCATAAAAGGAGACTGGAGGCAGGAAGAGGAAAAACCAATTTGTTATTTCCTGCTTACTGATTCTTCAGCCCTGCTGTGGGGTGGGGCCCAGTTTCCAGCTTTTGCCACCTACTGGACAATACACTTCCAAGAGTGGACTCCAGAGTGCCCGGGGCCCCTTCTCCAAACTCTGATGGTTCCATAAATCCCCAGTCAGCAAGCTTCAGAAGATTGGCCATGGGTCCTTAAAAACTTATCCAGGCTCCCATTCATTTTCCCTTCTCTTCCCCCAGCCTGGAAATAGCATCTTCGAGGCCTTTCATTAAATAACTTCTGAGTCCCACACCTTCTCAGCTCTGATGTCTATTAACCAAGTCCCCATATTCAACTCTCTCAGCTACAACAACTTGACTGACTTCTGATGGACATGTCTGGTCATTACAGATGATTCCACAGAATCATCATTTTCTTTATGTGTCACAACAGCGAAGTTTGGGGAGGCAGACTATCCTGGCCCCATCTTGCAAAAAGACCCAGGAAAAGCACTCGAGACTGCCCAAGCTCTTGGCTGATGCACTCCCAAGAGAATTCCCATATTAGAGTCGAAAGGGGTGCTAGGGAGTGTTTAATTGATGTAGACATGTGTCTGCCACCTAAGACTGGACAGGTAAGCCATCCATGCCTGTTATTAACTCTGAGTCCCCATTCATTCTGAATCCCTTCATGAGTGGTGGGAGGTATCATCTTCCCCTCCAGAGTTAAGCTCCTGCAACACTGGAAGATTTAACTTCAGACTTTTCAAATATTAAAAGCATGTCTGGGATGGCAGTTCTAGGTTTGGCTTCTCTTTTTCCTATTAATCAATCACCCAGTATTTATGGAGCCCTGGGAGTTGTCACCCCAGGAAAAGCTTCACTCACAAATGAGTGCAGAATGTCGCCCCTCGATGAATGTTTACTTCCCTTTACGGTCCTACAGGGTTTTTTAGCAACTGCTCAGTAGGCGCTTTTCATAATTCCCATTGTTGTTGAGCTATTTTTATCCTTCCCGTATGACTCAAAGTGTGGCATACTGTCCCACTGTTAAAATCCTGCTCCTGCACGGCCGTGCCTGCTTATTTGGTAGCTTTAAAAAATGAACCATTCCCCTGTCTCAAAACAAAATCAAAATGGTCTCATCATTAAACACCTTATATCAAAATCAGGACATGGGGGGTATATAAAACCGGTGCCTGGGGAAGCTATGTGAGATGCGTCTCACAACCTAGACACCCTAATATCCTTAATATCCAGCTCTGGCCAGAACTGGACAGTTCTGTGCAGGACACTAAAGAGCAGCATTTCAGATGGCCTGACCAGAAATTAATCATGAGGAGAAAAATGCAATGCCAAGTAGTCATAACCTAATGATAATAATAGTGTTATGACGTTCAGCTCAAAATCTCCTGTCTTTATTAGCACCATTATGAGCTAAATTGTGCCCTCCCACAAATTCACATGGGAAAGCCCTAATACCCAGGACCTCAGAGTGTGACTATATTAATTGAGTTAAAATGAGGTCACTGGGGTGTACCCTAATCTAATTTGATCACTGCCTTATAAGAAGAGGTGATTAGGACAAACAGACAGAGAGTCAGAGACAAGGCAGGCACAGGAACGTGAGCACTGCATGAAGACACAGGGAGAAAGAGCAGCCAAGGAGGGGTATTGGCAGAGTGTACCTTCATCTCAGCCTGCTGGCCCCACACATGATGAGAAAATAGACTTCTGCTTTTGAATCACGTGGTCAGTAGTACTTCGCTATGGCAGCTCATGGGCTTTCAAAATACTTCCTAACATGAGGTTTTCTTGGTCACCAGTCTTTGCTTCTCAGGTGAGTATATCACTTTGCCTGGCTGTCTCAACTCGGCCCTGGATGGATGGGTGCTCGGCCAGTCCTCTCCCTCTGTAACTGACTCTGAGCTCCAGTCTGTGTGATAAGATCGAAAGAGTCCTGAGCAGATATTCTCAATGAGCAACGAACTCTTGGTTGCCCTTTGTTAGTATGGAGAAAGCCCAGGCAGGAGATCTAAGACTGCATCCATCCCAAGCCTCAATCACAGCATCCTTGCCAGCTTCCTCAAACACCCTAGACTCCATCCACCCCTGCTGTTTGTCTTGAGGGCAACATCCGAACGGTGCTAGGAATCCATCTATTACCGCTAACTATTCCTAAAGTGTCTCAGACTGGGAAACCCAAACTTCTGTTTGATAGAACCGTTCTAAAGTTTATATATGCTTCTTAAGGGACAAAGGGAGCTTCTCTATCCTTGACTTATTTTTAAACTGCAAATGTTAAATTAGCATTTTTGTAAGATGGCTCTGACATGCAAAACAGTTGATGTAGTCTTACACAAGCCTGTTTTAAAAAGAGGAAAATGTGTTTTCCTCAGCAAGCCACTAAAAAAAAAAAAAAAAAAAAGAAAAAAAAATCTTGAAATCACAGTGCCAAGAGCGTACTTACAGATCATCCAGTCCAATGTTTGTCTTTGCTTTTTCTCCATTTTAAGCATCAGACCCAGGTTTTTAAAAAGCAACCTTTTGAGAGGTCTGAGTGGGCAAGAGATGTAAGCTGAGCTTCTTTGATTGAAGTGGGCATGCAGGCCTTGAACTGCTCTCCGGGCCTCCAGGGAGCCTGGGGTTCTGAGGACAGCTGGAATGAAAACCATCAGCCTGGTCATGTCACTTTATGGATTTATCTGACACTCTCACAAACTGCCATGGCCGAGGTTGAGCGTTTGATAATGATATAACCAAATCTCCTGATTTGTGACCCATGAACTCTGTCGGTGTCACCGAGTGGGTCATTCTGACTTCCTTCCGCTGACTGGCAAGTTGGGCTTCAGCACGGCGTTGTGCTTAACCAGCTCTCAGTATGCAAGGCCAGAAACACACCTGGATGCCAGAACACACACGTCAGCATTAGTTACGTTAAGCAAACTCCAGTGTTTTTTTGTCAGATCCAGGTATCAGGCCAAAAGTCCTGGGGCTAAGGTTACTGGCTTTGACAAATATCCATATATTCTGAGTTGTTCGCCAGTTTCAATGTGCTTTGGGGGAGTTTCCTACAAAGATGGGTGCCAGCCAGATAGGGTATGATCTAGGAATGGTTCCTTTGTCTGGTGTGTGTGTGTGTGTGTGTGTGTGTGTGTGTGTGTGTGTGTGTGTGTGTGTGTGTGTTTAGGGCATAAAGGTGGTTCAAACTTAGGTTATCAAGTTCTACTGTAGATTCATCCTATCAAACCCCCAGACAGGAATGTCTCACAGCAGCATCCTGATAAATGCCATAGTGACCGGGTGACTCTCCTAGGTAGTAGCCACATGGAGAGAAGTAACAGAAACAGATATGAGCAACCAAACTCTGGTTTCATAGATATGGTTTCTCTAGAAAACTAACCAAGCCATAAAACACACAAAAATGGTACCCTGTATAACAATAACTGTCTCTTAGGATTGCTTGTCAAAATTTGACAGAGATGCCAACTTCCAAGGGTATGTGTTCAACTCGGTGTAGAGGTCAGTCCAAGGAGCTGGGAAGCTGAGCAAGGGTTAGGAAATCAGAAGAAAGCTCAGATTTTGCACTGAGAAATTCCTGTGTCAAGCTGTGCCAAAACCAGATGTTTTGACTGGTAATTATTATTATGATAATTCATTTAACTAGAAACAAAATCCAGCATGATTGTTTACTGTGGCCTGCTTCCCCAGACATTCAGAGAAATGAGAAGAAAAATCTCAGAGGTTTTACTCATGGCTAAATGGAATAATTTTCTCAATTTGCCAGAAATAGACATAGCAATAAAATGGTTTGCCTTTACATTCTGCAGTAGTTGTAAACAGGCTCCTTACACTTCCTTGCATGGAAAAGTCGAGGTGGAGACAGGCGGCCAGTGGTTTGAAAATGCCTTGGGTTTGGTTTCCATCTGAAAAACACTGTTCTCGGAAACACCTAGAGTTCTCAGCTGTGGCATGAGACTTCTGGATGCTATTCTTGTCTTCTCTCCTTTGTGAGGAATCCTTTTCAAGGCCAAGAGATGGTGGTGGGATGAAAGACACTTATAGGAACTTAGGGGGAAGGTTTTCCAGGAACAGGGGTGAACAGAGAACGCATCTCAGAGGACATAGACAGCAGGGCTGAAATTCTTAATAGTGGCTAAGAACTGGCACTAGCTATTGAATACTGTTTACAGCAAGTCACACCAACCAGCATAAGGGGACAACTCCGCCTTGCTGACTTGGGTTGATGGAGCCCAAAGAAGGGGGTAGGGCACAGTTACCTGTGACACCCTCACACACACCCCAGCAAAGGACAATTATTTGTCGCTGTCAAATCTATACAAAATTAAGAAACATTGTAAGCATAAGCCATACAGTAAAACATAAGTCACAGCCATATTTCTTCAACAGCGAAGCAAAAATTGCAATTTTCCCTTTAAAATCAGCCCTTTAGAAAGAGAAACTGTGAACTCTTGTCAAATAAAAATCTTTATATTGCTAAAATTAAAAATGTTTTCTTCACTTGTCTTCCTTGAGATCTCTCTCATCCTCTGCCATCTCTATCCTTCCTTCCTGGGCTCACTGTTCCTGGAATCAGGCTCCTGGGAGACAGCAGCATCCCACCCGAGGACCTGACGTTTGTGTTCAGGACCAAGGACAGTGGTTCCTGGGCTGCTGTTGCCTCTGCTCTGGCCCTTTTCCTTTCCCCTCCCATTAATATTTTAGACACATGGCCTGTTCTAGCAGGAGAAATAAGGGTCTCACGGTTCCTTCAAAAACCAGAACAGGACCGAAGCTGCAGGAAGAGCTGCTCTCCTGGTCCTTTCTTCGTTGTGTTTAACAAAAGAAAACACATCCAAGTCAGGGACGGGACCTGGAAAGCACGAGGCATCTATTCACTCCCTCACCAGTAAGTTTCCCTGGGAGGGTCTTAAATCCTACAGATGCAGCAGCAGATCTGGGAAACAGGTACTTGAGGACCCTTGTCAGATCCTCACAGTCCCAGGGACAGCCCACAGAGTGTGTCTCTGAAATCAGCTCAGCAAGGCGTAAGGGCGTAACAGACAACCCATCCGGCCACATCTGGGCCGAGTGGTGTCTCAGAAGTGGACATTCAACTCTAGGAAGCCCTGAGTGCTAGGACAACTGCCTCTCTCTCTTTTTTTTCACTTTCTGGAGTAACATGGGAGCACAGGCATCTCCTGGTATAATGTGCTCTTGTGAGATAGAACAGAAGGTAGGGAGGATATAAATACCCTGCAGTTCCGTTAAATACCCTTATTTATAGAAATGAAAGTTGGAAACCAGGATTACTTGCTGCAATATGAAGAAAGTAGAAGCTAATGAAAAATGAGCATTTAGCATGTTATGGGAGGGTCAGAGCTCCCTTGAAAGGTGCCCTTGCAAGCACAGAGAGAGGGACTGTGTTCAGGTTTAGTCTCTCTCTCTCTCTCTCTCTCTCTCTCTCTCTCTCTCTCTCCCCACTGTCTCTCCCTCCCTCTCTCCCTCCCTCCCTCCCTCCTTCCCTCACCCCCAATATGCACACACACTTGTATACCTCAGCATCCTGAGGTCAAAGGAAAACCATAAACAGATTGCTGGTCCTGGCTCACAGCAGCTCCCTATCCATTGTCTCCATTTTATAGTGTGTGTATGTGGAGGGGGGGGGGTTGCATGAGTGCCCCTGTGTCGACCTCAAGTGTCATTCTTCAGGTACTACCCACCTTTTTTTCCGACAGGGTCTCTTATTGGCCTGGAGTCCACTGAATAAGATAGGCTAGCTGGTCAGCAAACCCAAGGATCCCCCTATCTCAGCCTCCTCTGCATTGGAATTACAAGTGTGTGTGTTTTCATTGCTGCCTTTCTTGGGGGCGGGTTAGAGGCCATCAGGTCCTTATTCTTGGGAAGCAAGAACCTCACTGACTGAGCTGCTGCCCCAGCTCCATTTTCTCTATTTAGAGATGAGAGACGGCGCTCAAGTGAATCTAGGATCTGTACCAAGCCTGCTTGGGCTCAGGGGCCATGTTCATGTTCCAGATCTCGACAAACAGAAAATGATCATGGCTCAGGAGCATGTGGGAGAGATGCTACATGGCCCAGAGACCCAGCCAGGAATCTGTCCCAGCTGCCCTCATGGGATTTTCCACCTAAACTACTCAGGGTGGCCGTTTGCTTCTTGGGTGGCCTCAGTGAACTCTGTCATCCTCTCTTTTGACAAGCTTTTACTGAGCACTTCTGTATTAGTCAGGGCTCTCTAGAGTCACAGAATTATGGAATGAATCTCTCTCTCTACATATGTATATAAAAATATACATACAAATATATATATATATATATGTGTGTGTGTGTGTGTGTGTGTGTGTGTGTGTGTGTGTGTGTGTGTATAGGAATTTATTGGCATGACTTACAGGTTGCAGTCCAACAATGGCTATCTGTGAATGAAAGTCCAAGAATCTAGCAGTTGCTTAGTCCCACAAGGCTGGGTGTCTCAGCTGGTCTTCTGTAAATGCTGGAGTCCCGAAGAAGTAGGCTCCAATGCCAGAGAAGGAATGGATGTGCTAACAAGGTGAGGGCGAGTAGGCAAGAACAAACCATTGCTTCATTCATCTATTGTTCTTATTATACAGGATTCCATCAGAAGGTGTGGCCCAGATTAAAGGTGTGTCTTTCCCCCTCAAGATCTGGATCAAAAGCCTGTGTCTTCCAGCCTCAAGATCTGGATCATAAGTGTGCCCTCCATTTCAGGACTATAGTTCATTCCAGACACAGTCAAGTTGACAACCAAGAATAGTTATCACAGCTTCGTAGGCTCAGCACCCAGGTTGTGCACTAAGAATGCAGGTAAATAAGAAAGGAGTCAGACCAGGACAACTGCATACCACCGTCTTTTGATTATTATTGAAATAAAGAACATACTGGAGCCTGCTAGATGGCTAAGTGGGTAAAGCCACTTTTGGGGGCCTGATGACCTGAGTTTGACCCCCAGAACCCATGGAAAGGAGAAAACCAACTCTATAAGGCTGTCCTCGGACCTTCATATACATACTTATGGCATAAGTACATGTGGACCTAGAATCAATATGCTCTGAGCTAGATTGGTGTAGAGGAAGTGACCCTTGGTCAGACTGGGCAAGCCCTTTCTATTTCTACCCTCAGAGGGTCTTGCCAAACCCACCACACTGAAGGG